ACTCACTTCTGCTCTGTTTGGTGAGCAGCATGTATTTTTTTCAAATCACATGTGCTCTGCCAGGACTCCTTCCTGACAATACACTTAGCAGTTATCCAGCGGTTCCAAATCAGCTTGTGTGCAGTGATTTCTTGAAGGAAATAAGTATGAAAATGAATGAGATGGCAGTTATGGAACACCAAATAGTGCAGAGATGAAAGTGGATGGTCTTGCGTACCTGGCAACACTGCCCACTGTCCACCCTGCTGGCGCTGTGCACGCTACTTGCCCCACTGCAGGTGAGTCTCCCGGAGACCCCTCCATGTGCCAGCGAGAGCCATTGCAAGTATCTTGGGCAGTGCTGCCACACATGGGGAGCAGGGAAGTACCTGTCATCTCTCTAAATGCACCACTACCTTCGACAATGTGTGTCTGCCCCGTGACCCAGATGAGTGCTCAGATACCTGGAACGAGGAAGATAAGTGCTTTCTGCACAAAGTCTGTGACTCTGGGAAAGCCCTGGTGGCCGTGGACCCTGGCAACCCCACGGCCCCACAATGCAACACACACAGCCATTACCACTGGAGCCAGGACTGGGAATAGAACATGGGGCTAGCCTGCACACAAAGTGTAAAGGTGCCTGAGAACTCTAGAAAGCAAAAATTTAACTTTGTACATTTGCTCTTTCTCGACAATAATGGCAAAAAAAAGAAGAAGAAGAAGAACAGGTCCAAGCAATAAGCCCTCTTTTGTTCATCATAAACTAGGCACCTGTGGCTTAGCCTAGTTGAGGTGCGAAGCATGCCTGCTGCTGTGAGTGCCTTTAAATGAAAAGTCAAGCCCTGCTGTTGTGAGTGCAGGGGAACCAAGTATCCTGCAGGTGCTTTTCCTCCTGGTGTGCATCCTTTGAGCAAGCCTCAAGACTGAACGAGGTCATCTGGTTAGTTTTATCTTTAATGGCCTATGAGCATTGGTTCTTAAATGCTGGAGAAAAGTTGAACTACTTAAGCCAATGCAAAGTAATGCTGTGTATCTGCTAGGATCTAAGACTGTTCATAGTAGTCACCGTCCAGAGGTGAACGTGCTCCAACCTCGAGCAGGAAACACCAAGCAGTGCAAATACTGCTGTAGAAGACACGTGCCTCTCAGAGAGGGGTGGAGATGCAGACCCAGCTGCAGTTTGGGTGCAGGCAGCAGGTGACCTGGGAGCACTGTGCCTTGCCGCACAGAGGTAGGTGCCTGAGTCAGCCAGCTGGGAGGCTGCGATGTGGAGGGTGCTGTAGCGCTCCCGGGAATTCATGGTTGACGTCAACCTTCCACTCTCCTTTGTTCCTGAAGCTATGTAAAATAATCGGATGAGACCGCTCCCGGGATTCTGTCGGAACCACTGCACATTGTCCACAGTTTTAGAAAAATTACACCGTAGAGTGGGGCTGGCTCCCTCCTGGACACTCAGGGCTGAAGGACTCTGCTCCACCTCCAGCCCTCTCACCCCTGCATGGACAGAAGAAGAAAAGGCACAGGAGAGTCACTGTGGGAATCATGAATGCAGTTGCCAAACCTGTAACACATCCCAAGAAATACCCATGAGTGGGGAGGACAGCTCAGAGTCTAGCGTCCTGTCCCCTCTCCCAGCCCCTGCCCCCACTGTCGGCTGTGACACACACCCCATCCCCATCTAGGAACACCTCAACTCACAGCAAACCTGGATCCACAGAAGCCCCAGCAGAGTTCCCAGGCTCCTCTTCATGGCTCCTGGCCTTGTGCTTCACCTCACCCCTGCTCTGTAGGGTGTTAAGTGCTGGGCTCCTTCACCTCACCCCTGCTCTGTAGGGTGTTAAGTGCTGGGCTCAAACAAACTTTGTTCTTTGAAAGGTTCCTGGAGACTCAGGGCATACAAATCATCTCTGAGCTCTGTCATTCATCTTAACAGGAATCTTCACTGGCTGCCAGGGCTGAGATTCTGCAGTGTGAGTTCCACCCTTGTGAGTGGGAACAGTGCTGTGAGGACCAACCTCTGCTCCTCTTTTGCTGTTCTCTGTGAAGATCTCAGCCAGCTGAGGGAGGAGGACCTGGGGGTGGGACCTGGCAGCTTGTGCCTCTGCCACAGAAGCAAGACTTCTCGTGTGTGCAGCATCGCCCTCTGGAGGCCACGTGTGGGACCACAGGTCTTGGAGCCATAGAGCCAATTCCCATGATCCTTTGATTTTAATATGTCAAAATCATTTCACAAGATGCTGCAACTTTCCCAAGTCTATGACAATGTGTTGTAGTCCTTCAGAAAGGGCACACTAAGTAAAGATACAATAATCTGTTACTTCGTTGGGAAACCAATTTGAAAAGTATTCAAATTTCAGATCCAAATTCATGAGTCTTTGGGGTCAAATCTCAGGCAAGCCCCCTTTCCCTACAGTCCTAGAAAGTAGTCTAGGCCAGCGGAAGTACAATCACACCGAGACAGAAATCCCTGACAACGTGAGCAAGGACAAATTTAACATTTTCTTTGTGGCCAACTAAAATTTTGAGTAAGTCAAATACTTTTTCTTTTTGTTTGATTTATCCAGCACAAATCAAATCTTCTCACTGAGTTCTTCAATTATTTAGCCCTCTTGTGGATATTGTTGTTATGAAGAAGGTATCTTCACACTGCTGCTGTATTAGTGTGCCATGTATGGAATTTTAATTCCTAAGACTGCATCATCTCACTTCCTTCTCTCCCATGTTTCTTCCTAAGATGCCTAGTATGCAAATGGAAATCATCCAAAATCCACAAAAATCAGAAAAATTATGGTTATCTGGAGAAGAAACATCACCTTGTACTTTCTTTGTACAGTAGTAACTGCTTTCCCAGGTCACAAGCAGGAAGCTGGATGGAAAGTGGACCTTCCAGGATTAGAACCAGCGCCCATATGGGAGCTCACTGCATTCATTCCAAAGCAACGTGGTATATGGGATCGTCTTGAAGATTAGAGTTGATATATATTTTAAAAAGCATAGCTAAATTAATCTACCAGGAGCTATTTCTCCTGGTGTTCAGGCTAGTAGTAATTGTAACTGCTCTCAAATTTCTGGAGCACTTACCAAGCCCAGTGACTATAAAATCACAGGCCATGTGGTTGTTTGATGTGATGGAGCCACGACGCTTTGAAGGCATCAAGAATTCTACAGTGGCAGGAGAAACATCTCTTCGTGGAAGAAGAAAAAAAATCAGAAGCATGACTCAGAATTTCATTCTTTGTATGGCTGAGTACAATCCACACTGTCTATAGACCCCATCTTCATTATCCAGTCAGGAGTTGATGGACACCTGGGTTGATTCCAAATCTTAGCTATTATATGTTGAGTTGCAATAAACAAGGGGGTACAAATAATGCAAGCTTGATGTAACTGGACGATGAAAGAGACCAGATATGCAGCCCAGAACACACAATGCATTGTCCATTTAAAATGAGAGAAATTCAAAACTAATACTGAGCCAATGGATATATTTCTTTAAAAAAAGATTTATTTATTTTTATTGGAAAGGCAGATATACAGAGAGGAGAAACAGAGAGGAAGATCTTCCGTCCAAAGATTCACTCCCCCAAGTGACCGCAATGGCTAGAGCTGAGCCAGTCGGAAGCCAGGAGCCAGGAACTTCTTCCTGGTCTCCCAGTCAGGAGCAGAGTACCATCCTTGGGCCGTCCTCAACTGCTTTCCCAGGCCACAAGCAGGAATCGGGATGGAAAGTGGACCTTTCGGGATTAGAACCATCACCCGTATGAGATCTCAGTGTATTCATGGCAAGGATTTTAACCATTAGGCTACTGTGCCAGGCCCCAGGGGATAATTTCTAAGCACCAGGAGCAAAAAGTAAATAGATCCAAAGATTGAGCAGAATAAGCATGGATTCCTACTCAGAGCAACCAGGAAATGTCAAGCATTCAGATCAGGGCAGGCCTAGGGTCTGGCGTCTTGGCATAGTGGGCTAGAGCGCAACCTGCAGTGCCAGCATACCGTATGGGTGCCAGTTCATGTCCCAACTGCTCCATTTCCAATCCAGCTCCCTTTTTATTATGGCCTAGGAAATTAGTGGAGGATGGCCCAAATCTTTGGGCCCCTGTACCCACCTGGGAGACCTGGAGGAGGTCCCTGAGTACTGATCTCAGAGCAAGCTCAGCTTTGGCTGTTATGATCATTTGGACAGTAAGTCAATGGATAGAAGACCTCTTTTTCTGTCTGCTTTTCTCTGTAACTCTATCTTTCAAATACAGAAGGAAATCTTAAAGGGGTAAAAAAAAAAAAAAAGGTGTACACTTTTACTGGGAAACCAAAGGGAAATAATTTATATAGCTGGATAAAAACTATTCAGAAAGAATTTGCTGAATGTCATGTTTTTAATGTATGTGGAGTAAATCACTGCCTTGTGTAAATCTTATTTCATCTTGTTTTATTTGTACATTTTTGTTTTTCCTTAACTCACCTGGAAACGCTCCAATGAAAAGAAAAGCTCCTCCCCAGGTTGTCGAGTGGTTCAGACAGCGCACACATTTTGTCTTTTGGAAATGCTGCCCTACCATCCTTGACCTCTCTGCCCCTCTGCTGAGGTGAGCGACACTGCGGGGTGACCACATACTCTCCAGAAGTTTAGGAGGTCTCCCCCAGGGCATGCTGAAATCTCCACTGATCCGTTATACTAGCACTTGACATGCCCTCCCAATCTAGAAACACGTAGCATTCATCCCTGGGACATTTTCTTGTGTAGCCTATTTGATCATTTATTTCCAACCACTAACCATGTTCTCTTTCTCTAAATATTCTAAGAACATATTGCATTTCCTGAGTTCTTTCACTTTCCAAAATACCATTTTATGTCCTAATGTCCAAGCAATTTACCTATTGACTTTACACTCATTCTCTCCCTTTTTTTTTCCTGCTCTCATAGCTTTTACGTTCTAAAAATTTCTACTTGTTCAAAGAAAAGTCACTGTTTATGGCACCTCCTTGCTTTCTTCTTCCCCTCTCAATGTCTTCATTTTCATTTAGTGTAGTTGTGTTCTTGCTGTCTTTTGCCACTTGCCATTGTCTCTGCTTCTCAATAAATGGTAACAATTCCCCAAGCCGAGTGGGTCACAGAGGCAGGCACTCTGCACCTGGCCTCTCACTGCACCTTGGTTTGTGCTCAGCTCCCCCTGCAGTTCTGTCACTGTGTCACTCAGAGCACAGTAGTACACAGCCGAGTCTGACTCTTGAACCGCGGCTTTCTTCAAGTGGAAGGAGGTAGCTTCTTTGTTGTACAAGGCTTCAAACCCTTTGTTGCTTCCCTTATCATTGGCCTTCGTGGCCTTCAGGAGGAGCTGTGGACCTTCACCAGGATACTGGACATACCAGAAAAGCGCCGGGTACTGTGTGGTTTCATAGGAGCAGTTCACAGTCAGCGAATCCCCCTCAGAGAGCGTCACTTGTCCTTCTCTCTGGGTCACCGAGTCTCCACTGCTTCCCCCTGAAAAAATAAAACAACACTGTAGGTTAGGAATGACCAGTCCATGCCCCTTAGAGACACCTGTGGTTAGAGACTGTGCCACTTGCTAATCGGGTAGATCTGCTCCATGTTGTGAAAGCAGAAACTCAAGAGACATAGATGGAGAGAAAAGAAGGGAGGATGGGGAAGGCAGGGATGAGGGGAAATCCATTATTTTCTTAGAATTGTATCTAATCTGTTAAATAGTAATTAAAATTAAAATGTAAAAAAGATTGGGGCACTAGCATACTGAAACAAGACTGGGGATTAACCGCTACCTTGCTTACCAAGCACTAAGACTAGCACAGTCAGTGGTCCTAGAGGAGTGTTCATTTTGAGAGCCTCTGTTGTTCCTGCGTCTTGACTTCTTAGTGAGTAAAAAGGTTAACATCACGACAGAAGGGTGAGTGTGAGCTCAGCATCACAGCAGGAAGCACGAATGTACAGGAAAACGCGCCTCCTTGTGGGCAAGTGATTGTTGGCCTCTCAAAATCAGTCCTACTCTTCTCTCTTCCCCTCTAGTTTTTTTTTTTCAAAGACACCTGTTGGCTGTCAGATCATCACTTGAAAATTTACAGAATAGTTGATACTCATCATAAACATTTTCACAGTACAGCAGCAGACAGAAAAGGCCAATATCACTATACTTCAGAGAAGAATTTGATTTACTTTTTCTTACTTCTGTAGCCACACTTGGCCTCACCTTAAGTCAGTGAAATAGCCCCAAAGCAAGTACTTTGATGATTTGGGATAGCAGAGATGTATTCTTTTTGTCTTTTTTTTCCCCATTATTCTAGTCCCATAACGAGAACAGTACTAGACACCTAACAGATGGCAAACAAATATTTCTGGAATGCATAAATGAAAGAATAGATGAATGGTCTTTAGTTAAGGAATTATTGTTACCTGAAATATCAATTGCTTCACATTTAATACACCAATTTTAAGAAACGATTTGAAATAAACTTTAGAAAAAAGTAGATTCTAAATTGCATTTGTTGATTAAAACATGAAAAATATATCTCACTATTAAGTAGTACTTAAGGTATTAAATTCCAATAAAATTTTGAATTTCTTTTCTTTTCTCCTAGGGTTTTAATCAGGCCCAGATAACGACTGACCTATGTGTCAAGTAGATTCTTCATAGTGTGTGCTTCAAAATGCTTGTTGTTCTGGAAATTTGCCTTGTTTATGCTCTGTATTACATGTGTAGCTGCCAGCATGTTGACCCAAATTATTTTCACCACAGGATAGGTTATTCACAAAACAAGTGTCTGTCTAAGAACACTAAAAGCGGATCTAGCCTCCTCTGTTAGTGTCGGCTGAGATATTTCTGCTGAATGGAATCAGCCTTTGGCAATGGTTACACCTGCTTGCATATAGAAGTTAGTTGATACTTTAAAATACAGATTCGAGTGTGTCTCCACTTATACAGAAACCAGTCTTCAGAACTAAGACCTGGGAAGGTAGAATTCCTCTCCTGTGGGTTTTTTTTAAACCAGTTATGTTGTACAAATGTTTTGTTTTTGTTTTTAAGATTTTTTAAATTTGAAATGTAGAGTTACAAAGAAAGACAAAGACAAGCAGGGATCTCCATCTGCTGGTTTACTCCCCACATGGGCCACAACAGACTAAACTGAATATATACAAAGCCGGGAGCCAGGAACTTCCTCTAGGTCTTCCATATGGGTACAGGGACCTAAGGACTTGCGTCATCCTCTGCTGCCTTCCCAGGTCATAAGCAGGAAGCTGTGTCAGAGCAGAGCAACAGGGACACAACCGGTACCTAAATGGGGCTACAGCACTGCAGTAGAGGATTCGCCTGAGAAGCATGGCACTGCCAACAAATGCTTTAAAATGATCTTTGGGAACAATTACCTTTAGACAGTCAAGGTTACAATAAGGCTTTTCTGGAATCAGCTTGGGAAAACCCTTCAAAACTCACAGATTTCTTAAACCAATCTCCTCTCGTAATTGTTTTGAAATCACAATAACTACAACAAACACTGCTGGTTCATACTATTCTTGCCCATTCAACTTCTGATGTCTTCAGAATGTTCCAGGAGAAACTTGATGAAGAAGCATTCTCTCTCTCTCTCTCTCTTTTTTTTTTTTTTTTTTTTCCTATTCTACCAAGCTCTTAGCAGCATTTGTTTTTGAACTTAGAAACTTTTTCTATTGTGCATTCTGGAACGTTCACTATTTCATAAAGTCTGAGGAGAAGGATTTATAGTCCTGCAGCAAGATGTCACTGCTAACAAGTTCCAGTCTGTGGTTGCAAGTTTAGGTCTGGACATTGTTTAGGTTCGTAATCATTTGTCTCTTCCTTTTCTGTCCTATCCTGTGTCAAGTCTCTGTGACTAAGAAGTATCTTCCTCCCCTTTGCCTGGCTCTTCTGATACATGACTGTAACTTACTTAACCTGAAGTCTCAGCAGAAATAGAGTGAGCAGCTTCACTTTCCAGCATTTCCTTTACTTTCTCAAGTTAACCTTGTCCCTTGTGCTGTTGCAATTTTACAGTGTTCTGAGAACATCTATTACTCACCTGACGAGTTCGTAAGGAGACGAATAGCACTGAGGAACTATTGCAGACAGTTTGAGAAGAACACTGTAGAACTTTATGACCAATAATAAGAACTCCTTAAGCTAGTAAGAGATTTGGCCAGACCATCTGACCTCCAAGAGCCCAGAAGCTCTACTTTGATGACTTGGATTTGCCAAGATTTATTCAGGAAGGGTTGTCCAGGGAAACAGAAGCAAACCCAAATAATTTATGAAGAAAAACAGCACAGAGAGTTGGACCTAGCACCTTCAGAAGGGCATCAGCCCTTTGTCTCATCAGAGAGAAATGAGGATTGATGACCTGGGCTGTGTGAGACACTGAAATAAGTGGAGCTTAGGAAGAAGCTAAGAGGTCAACAAGAGCCACACTTGATCACCCGTGTTGCCTTCCCATGGACCATATGATAGGCTCAGCACTTCATGACTTCTCTTCCACGTCCCTGACACCACACAACATTTACTCATTTACAGAAATTAAAGTACATCCTCCAAGCAGGCGGTTGTGGGAAATCTGGATTAGGTTTCTTCCCGGTAAATAATAGAAATAAGTTAGAAGACAATAGGACAATTCCTAGCTCACAAAGTACACCAGGAAGCTGGTGAAGTCCTCATGTATAATAAGTGTTCACACCTTCAGAAACTAGCAGAATGGGGTTTTGTAATTGGAGGACCACTGTAATAATTAAAGCAAACAGTATCTTATAATATTGGTTTTGACCACACTAATAAACATCATATTTTATAAAATGCTATTTAGAATGTTTTGCCATTTCTTAAAATAGTGCATTTAACATAAAAGCACTCTCATGTCTTGAAAGTGGAAATGAAGCAAATGATAAATATATTGTTTCATGGAAGTTTTAAGACTTTAATTCCTCAGTATGTGTTCTAAATATGGGCGTATCCACTTAGTAAAATGCTCTATAAATGCTGAATATAACAATGTATATTTATTGCAGTTATTTAATAATAAATATGCTTTTTAAGGATTCTGAATTTCAAGTCTCCCAATGTTAATTATTATATCATATTAATATAATTTTTCTGCTCAAGATGTCCTATTTGCAATAACAGCAGATATCTGTAATGATCTGAAAATCTGTCATTGAACGTAATGAAATAAAAAGCTGAACGACCTTTAGGTTAGGAAGGTAATGACATGCAGCAAGCTCAGGTTCTCTTTTTGCTTAAAGCAGCCCTCAGTTTTCCAGACCAGATTGGTCCATTGTCGGCTTGGTTACATAGGAAACCACCATAGTCCCTTGTCCCTCTGGTTCTGGGTACAAAGGTGCAAAGGTGAATTTGCACAAGATTCCAGAAGCACACAGGAAGTATTGATCATTATATTCTGAAGTTCATCATTACTTAGAGAAGGCAAAGGACTGCTCCTAGTTTGTTGCTGGCATTAGTTGGATCCACTGTGTTACTGCTCTTCCCAGATGGCGCCTAACCGCAAACCAACTTCACAGCAACATGTGTCATTACAGTTATCACAACACTTCTGAGCTGCAAAAAAGATGCCACACGAGCTATTGTTACACCTACCTTGTACTTGAATCCCAGGCCAATTCACCACAGGAAATTACTAACTATGATGCTGCAATCATAAAGGACTTACCACCACCCACATACCTCGAATAAAGAAATCCTTACTGACGTCTAGCCAAGGATACTCCCAGAATCTAAGCTCACGTATTGGCTTCATGTGATCAGCTCTTTGCCAAATGTCATACACTGAATTCCTCCAGAAGCTGAGTGCAAATGAAATAATACAGAAAGCACTTACAAATGTAGAAGACATAATTCAGGAAACATCAAGTGCTTACAATGATGTGATGAAGTAAAAGTTCTGGAGCTAATGTGGTAGTTCGACAGGTTAATCCTCCACCTACAAGCACCAGCATCCCATATGAGCATCAGCTCCTCACCCGGCTGCTCCACATCTGATCCAGCTCCCTGCTTGTGATCTGGGAAAGCAGAGGAGAATGGCCAAAGTGCTTGAGCCCATGCACACACATGGGAAACCCAGAAGACACTCCTAATTCCTGGTTCCTGGCTTCAGATCAACTCAGCTCCAGCAACTGCAACAATTTGGGCAGTGAACCACTGCGTGGGATATCTTCCTCTATCTCTCCCTCTCTCTATAAATCTACCTTTCAAATAAAAAATTAAAATTTTTAAAAAGAAAAAATAAGGATTTCTTTTATTTTTCTGATGGAATCAAAAATTGGCAATACATTCTGGAGAATAATTTGACCATATGAAGAAATTTTAAAAGTGTGAATCTCATAATTCAACAATGCTTATTCCAAGCATCCGAAACAGAAATTTTGGCCCTTATGGATAATAAAACAATTATCTTACTGTAGAAAATTTGTGAAGAAATTTGAGACTTCCTAAGTAAAGGGTTAGTGACATCCTTTTTTATGAAGGGATTCAGGTTGACTTTCTGCTTTACTCCACTGGAAATTTGGTAAAGGTGAGTTGTCAGCTGCATCAGTAGATAACGTTCTAAGATAGAGATTATTCCTTGTTCCTAATGGAATTTGGATTCTAAGTTAGCTGAAACTAACTAGCAGAAAGTGGCAGCCTTAGAATACCTTTTTTTTTTTAAGCTGTTAAAGAAGATATTATCTCCTATTTGGAACATGCAGCTTCAACGTATGGCTGAACTATTTAGTCTTGTTCCTTAAGCTTAAGTACTTGATATGAAGGAGTAAAGGAAGTTGCTAAAGAAATTGTCTGTGAACAGTATGAACGGTGGAAGGGACTCTCCATGAAAAGTCTCCTGGCATGAGGGAAGCCAGTATCTACATGATTTACTGCATGTTGTAAATGAAATTGTCTAGTTGAGCCCAAGAGGATCACTGATAGCGTCACACAATCTAAGTATTCATAAAAATGAACACCTGGCATAATCACTTAATGGGTTATCACTGAGAAGTTAAAATATCAAAATATACCTCCACACATACAGTTTTACATCACAAAAACATTATCAGTGGAAAAGCAGACTTCACAGTTATATATCCAATGTGATAGGATCCATGCACATTTTAATAACATAAAAAGTAGAATCATATATTGCTTTAAAGCATGTATTAGAAATATAAGTACAGACTTGAGAAACTAAGTTCATAATTTGGGGTTGAGAGATGGAGGAAAGAAAAGAGTATATGAAGAGGTGGGCCTGGTGTGGTAGCCTAGTGGCCAAAGACCTCGCCTTGCATGCGCTAGGATCACATATGGGGGCCAGTTCGTATCCCAGCTGTTCCACTATCTATCCAGCTCACTGCTTGTGGCCTGAGAAGGCAGTGGGGGATGGCCCAAAGCCTTGGGATCCTGCACCCACAATGAAAACCTGGAAGCAGCTCTGGTCACCTGGCTTTGGATCAGCTCAGCTCCAACTGTTGCAGCCACTTGGGAAGTGAACCAGCAGATGGTAGATCTTTCTCTCTCTCTCTCTCTCTCTCTGTCCTTCCTTCTCTTTTTAAATCTCTCTTTCCAAACAATAAATAAATAAATAAATATTTTATTTAAAAAAGAAGTGATAGAGGTGATAATTTTGCTTGTTACATTTATTTTTTAAATTTTTCAAGTTTACATTTAGCTATAACTAAATACGGAATGACATGTACAACATAATATTTTAACAGTACAGAGTATTCCTAGAGTAAACATAGTTTTTAAAGGTGTGAGATATCTATTACCTTCTCAGGATATTTATGTATTAATTTTCATATTTACAGAAGAATAGCTTTGTGAACTGACACAAAATCAATGTAGATAGAACAAATAGTGGTGTTTGAAGCTTGTTAGAATCAGTCATGAGACAGAAAATCCAACTGTGCTTGAAAATATGCCCTGAAGTTTGACAAAATGGTACTGGTGTGTGGGATTCCCCAAACTATAGAATGTGGGAAGTCATCAATAACATCTCATGTTCATTAAGAATTATGCAAGTTGGAGTAGCAAAGACCAAACTGTCTAGTAAATAATGGGATTAGACACAGTCTCAGGAAGCAAGGGGTTATCTTCACAAGCTGCTGCAGACGACAGAGAATTTCATTCCAGAAACAGCAGCTGCGCCCAGTTTGCAAGGTCTGGGTGTAGAAAGTTCAAGAGTTCAGCCGCAGACAAGCCTGTTGTAACAAGAGCCCCCAACTCCATTTACAGTGTTCCTAATCAGTGGCATTGTGCTTTAGTTTTCTTCTTTGGAAGTATAAATAAAACCACTTCAGTATTTCAGGCAGGGTTGCAGATGTGAGGATGGAAAATGCTTGCCCAGGTCCTTGAGGCTTTTGGTGCCAGGAGCCATCTTTCTTCATCAGTCTTGAATTAAAAGGAAACTGGAATTGCTCCTTCTCAGGTATCAAGTAGTTTTGGGACACAGAGCTAAGTTATATTCTGAAGTATCATTGAGACACAAGCCCCATCATCAAAGCCACAAAACACAACTAGTGCCAATGAGGATGTGGAGAAAAGAGAGCCCTTGCACAATGTTGGTGAAAATGTAATTCAGCACATTCTGGAGAACAGTATAGAAGTTCCTCAAAATAAATAAATAATAAGATGTGTCATATAATCCAGCATTCTCACTACTGGGTATGAAAGGAAATGAAATCAACCGGTCAAAGGGACATCTACAGCCGTGTTTACTGCAGCGTTATTCACAATAGCCCAGATAGGGAAACAACTTCCCCCCACAGCTCATAACTGCTAATGTGGTACACATACACGATAGAATACCACTGAGCCATGGACTGGAAGAAGTCTTGTCATTTGCAACAACATAACCTGAACTGGTAATCACTGGTATATGAAATAAACCAAGTACACAAACACAAGTACCTCATGATCATATGTGGAATCTGAAGAAAAAAAAAAGTGGGGGGAAGACTCATCAGAGCTGGAGGATAACTGGTTGTCAGAGGCTGAGAAGAGCAGTGGAAAAGAAGGGGAGGATGAAAGATTATTTAATAATACTAAGTTATGGTTAGATGAGAGTAAGTTCTGGTATTCTGTTTCATAATAAGGTGACTTCAGATGATGATAATATTTTTAATGTCTACAAGAAAGAATTTTTAAATGCTTTCACCACTAAAAAAAAATCACAAATGTTTAAGGAGATGTATATGTTTATCCTGATTAGACATGGCACAATGTATACATGTATCAAAAGAACCCAATAAAGGTCTCATAAAAATGTAGTCTGTATGTGCCATTAAAATGCTTTTAATTCGCAGATAATCAGCCTCTCAATGTTGTTCTGAATGTTTTCTGAAAAAATATTAAGTAAATGTAACTTTTTTTAAAAGAAGATTTTATTTATTTATTTGAAAAGTAGAGTTACAGAAAGGGAGCTCTTCCATCTTCTGGTTCACTCCCCAAATGGCCCCGACAGCTAGAGCTGAGCCAGTCTGAAGTCAGAAACCAGAAACTTCTTCCGGGCCTCTCCCATGCGTGCACAGTCTCAAGGCTCTGGACCAACTTCTATTACTTTCCCAGGCATGTTAGCAGTAACATGGATCAAAAGCGAAAGTACTGGGACACAAACTACCTCCCATGGGGGTTGCCTGCATCACAGGCAGTGGCTTAACATGATATGCCACAGCACAGGCTCCTAGCATAACTTTTTATGAGTAATTTTATATGTCTTATCTCATTTCCAGAAATCCCTTAAATGAATATCCCACAAATATGATTGGAAAAATGATGCTGATCTCTGCTGGCGTCCCTTTCAGGCTAGGGTAAATCACTGGACACAATCCAGGATTATTCTCCATATCTTAGATTCCTGTAACCTAAATCTCTTATTTACAGCAGCCCCAGGAAGGACACAACATTAAAGTCCAACCTGTCTCCTCCTCCCCTTTATTTTCCCCCAAATTCTTCATTAATCACTAAGACTTTAGATACTTAAGAATACCAAGCCTTCCTATAAAGTTTTTTCCTCCTAGCCAGGGGATGTATCTGATCTAATAATCTTTAGCTCTTTAATTTTCATCGTAATATTTGGTCAGTGTATCTTCAGGAGCCAGATATTACTAAATTTCACACATCATTACCAATGCTAAACAGATGAGAACCCATTTCTAATATTCCAAATGTGAAATCACGTGAAAATACAGTGAGAGTTTTCTTTCAGTGGCACAATTTGGGATAAATCAGCAAAATTTAATATCCCACCAATTGTGAGGATTTCTAATGTGGATTTGCAGAATTCAAGATTTTAAACGAATTAAATTATTTTGTGAATAAAATAAATGCAATCTAGGACCTAGATTTCACATCTTGTCTCTCTTCAGTAGACCTCTAAAGCTATTAGCAGTTGGAAGCATTCACTCTCTTTGCCCAATATTCCTAAAAAGTTACTGAGACCTCCATTAACATTCTGTAGTTAAGCTGTTTACCATCCAACCAATCTCCTGCCCCTCTCAAAGGAACACTTACACCAAGAGGAATTTGCCAGTACAAAGTGGAGCCAAGGGGGGAAAAGCATCAAGGAAAACTGACTTAAAATTTCCAAGTCGGGAAAACAGTAAATATATAGGAAAAGTCTACAAGAGGCTTGTCCTCTAGTTGGAATCACTGAAAAGCAAAATAACGACTGCGAATCAGAGCTCTCCCGGCCATGCCACCACTCCCACATCCCACCACCAGCAGCGCATCAGCCCCGCACTGGTCCAGCAGGTGCCTGACCTCCTGCACACCTGAGGGAAGAGTTCCAGGGTTTGAACCCATGTTTTTATGACCCATTTCTCCTCCGCCGCATCTGAGGGAGTTTGTGCGCGGCTCCCCCTGCAGTCCCAGGCGCTGTGGCAGTTATGGCACAAACGTACCGGGCCGTGTCGCTCAGGTGCACCGAGGACTTATTCAGATGGAAGGAAGATTTGTGCTTGTTAAATTCAGCCTCAAAGCCTTGGAGGCTGTGAACCCGGTTATCCCCTGAATCATGCTTGAGGAGAAGCTGGAGGCCTTGGCCGCGGTGCTGGACGTACCAGAAGAGATAGAGGGCTGTTCCTTGGGTGAAGTTGCACTTCAGTTCCACAGAGTCTCCTTCAGACACGGAGACGTGGGCGTCAGGCTGGATCACCCTCTGGGCTACAGCGGCTTCTGCAAAAGCAAAACGGCCGTGAGCTCAGGGCTACCTGCACCTTGCCAAGTGTGCCCACTGCGATCTGATTCTGAGAACAGAGTCTGAGGAAGTAGGGACCATAACAGAACATTACTCACTCAAGGCGAGAGCCATCCCCAGGGCGGGGACGAGCACCAGGAGCATAACTGAGGTCTCCAGGAGCTCTAAGCGATGGGAACGAGGCTGTGGAACTCAGCAAAAACCCAGTGTGAGTGCCCCAGCTGCAGGGACGCTGCACCAGGCTCCAAGTGCTGATGGTGTGGAGGGACAAGAAAGCCGAATTTGTGCGCCAATCGCCCTCTGGAGGCCAGGTGCGGGAGGAGCACCCACACTCCAAAGAAGCATCATCAACTTGCACTGGACAGGTCTCTTTCTTCCCTAACCTGCTGTGGCCCACCTTCTGCATTAATTACATTAACCCTGATCTCAAAATAGGGCCTACATGATAGAGGATAGATTATTGTCTGTCGGTTAGTCCATCACCCTGACTTGGATGAGCCACATTAAATGGAAAGGACAATGTGGTGAGATGTGGGGGCAATGACTTTGGCTGGCAAAGGTAACTTTAAGCATACAAAATAACAACCTAGAACAAAGTTCTTACCTTAAAAAAAATCAAACAATTTCATCTTCATTCTACTTCAAACAGAATCACAAAAATCCAGTCCTTTAGATCAACAACAATAATATACAATGAAGGAAAACCAGAGAAAACTCAGTTATGGAAACCATGCCATGAAAGCAACATAGGTAGAGTCTGGCATCCACTGATAAAGCTGAGGAGGTTGATAAAGGTGTTGCAAAACAAAGCAGAAACAATTGTGAAGGAACTAAGGAAAGAATAAAAGCAACTTTAGACAAGCCCTAGAAACCTGGACACAGTATCAGGACAGACCAGGGCCAGGAACAGAAGTCATGGAGCAGGCTGGTAGTAAAATCTGCTGAGGTTGGCAAGCAGCAGCGGCGTTATGTGAATGAAAGTAGAATCTCATGTAGTGTAGACAGTGTTTCTCGGGGCCCTACAATATGACCAATCATCTGAAATAAGAACTCTTTTCTTCCCACCCATGTTAGCTTGTAGACCCCTGAAGTGAAGTCTCACAGCAGGATATCAATCGCAAAGGAAAGGAGACCACAGAAACAAGCTACTCCATCGCTATATAAGTCTCTTAGATTTGTCTTAATGGCTCAAAAAGCCTTAGATAAATTATTACATACCTACATCCTAAAATTAGATGACAAAATGAGTAATTAACTAATGTTGAAGGGGGAAGGAAAGAATTCAGAAGGGTAAATGAACCAATTAACTGAAGGATCTATTCTGAAAGCATAAAATGAAAAACATTTAAATAGCCCAAAATAATGCAGCATCATTTAAAGATAGCAGGAGTCCAAATTCATTCATCTTTTTCATTGGAGCATAAAGGAAGGCAGAGGGCGGCTCAGTGACCCTTCTCACAGTCAAGCCTGTCATGACTGGAGTTTACAGCAGGTCATGTATCTTCCTCAGCATCTGGAATATTTACCTTATGTTTTCACTTAAACTCTTTTTTGTGAATTCCTTCAAAATTTTTTATTACTTGAAAGGCAGAATTACAGAAAGAAGGAAAGACAGAGAGAAAAAGATCTTCCATCCACTGGTTTACCCCCCAAATAGCCATGATAGCCAAAACTAGCCCAGTCTGAATCCAGGAGCCAGGAGTTCTTCCAGGTTTGTCACAAGGTTGCAGGGGCCCACAGACTAGAGCCATCCTCCTCTGTTTCCCCAATCTGTAAGCAGGGAGCTTTATAGAAACTGGAGCTAGGACATGAACCAGTGGTCATATAGAATACTGACACCACAGACTGAGGCCTAGCCTACTATACCATAGCACTGGCTCCTCAGCAAACATTATACAGCACCTACGCCAGGCTGTTGGAGGTTAAATTTCAAGCCATCTTGGAAGAAGTCTTTGTTAATTGTCATTATTTGTGTTTCTGTTGAAGTTCAAAGTTTATAGCCCATTTTTATATAAACTTTTGTACTTGATCTTCACAACTCTTGGAATAAACCATGTCAACATTATTATTCGATTGGTTGGAAATTATTGGGTGTTGGGTGTTGGGTTGCCAGGTCTCATGCTCAAGTCCCATATTTTGGAGCACTTTGGGCTCCCAGTGTATGTTCCAATTATTAACTGTGCTTCCTATGGTGTCCTAGATTGCTCTGATCAGTTACAGCACTCTGGCATGCCAACTTCATCAGCACCATGATTTAACAGACCCTGGCAGCTCCAGCTCCAGCTGTACAGGGTGCAGACTGCAGGGGTCTCAGCACAGACTAAAGATCATATGCACTTGAGCAGGTCAGGGAGCTTGCACACATACCACGCCAGGACTCAGCCAGCCACCAGCGATTCCAATGCAGTTGGACTAAGGTGGTCACCAGCACTGACATTTTTTCCAAAAGCAAGGACTGAGACATGTAGGCTGGGTCTCAAGAATTCTCTGTGGTCTTGGCTAAGAAGTAATGCCAGAATCTACTGTAAAACGACCATAATGACAGAACTCAGCCTGCCCTTTGCTCCTCCCTGTTTCTCGATTCATGAGGACCACAGGTCCTTCTCAGAATTCTGCTCTGGAGAAAAGAAAATGTTTGCAGGTGTGGCGATGGCTACTCCTCCTGGTCCAGGCCCCAGCTGTGGGCTGTTCACTCCTATCCAGGAGAGGGAGACAGTTAGGAATACGGACACTTTCTGTGGATTCTGAGATGAGCAGGAAGCTGAGCTCCTCCTGTCTTCAACCTGTGCTTTCACAAGCCCCACTGAGCCTGTTCTGTCATGACTCCCTCGAGGAATGCCTAGGATCTGTCACTCTTGCTCCCAGAAACTATAGACTTAAGTAAAATAAAGCTCAATGACTTAATATTGTTCAATAGTATAGTATTATTTACAACTTTTTTTCTGTCTATAATTTTACTGTTAAATAAAGGCTCAGATTTTATTGTATTTATTTCCCCTGTGGCAACCGATAGCAATTGACCTTCTAGGCTCATGTGGTGCCAAACCCATGTGATAGTTCCTTCCAAATGATGTGGGAACCCAGTTACTGCTCTACTATCAGAGAGCTTTTCAAACACTTCCCTCAAAGGTTCAAGAAGCATTCAACTATCTCTCACCTTTCTCCATGTTTCCATGAGAAGAATGACTAAAGAATGACTAAGAAGAACTAAAACAAAAACAACCAAAACCCAAGCCTAAGTCTTAAGTGCAATTTTTTTATAAATCTCCAACTCCCAGCTAGACTCAACTTCCACCCTGTGCATCCAGGAATATTACAGGGTCTCCTTGGAGTCTTCTCCCCTACATTCAAAACTAATGTATTCCAATGCCTAGATAGAGTACCTAATGCATTATATTAGGAGCTGGATTTTGTTCGATGGAAATTTCTATAACAGTACTTTTCACCAATTATGAAAGGAATGTTAGAACTACCATAATAAAAATGTAGTTGCTTTTGTCAACATTTAAAATAAATATCGCGCCAGGACCCAGTGCGATAGCATAGTGGTTAAAGTCCTCACCTTGCATGCGCCCAGACCCCATATGGTCGCCGGTTCTAATCCCAGCCACCCTACTTCCCATCCAGCTCCCTGCTTGTGGCCTGGGAAAGCAGTTAGGACGGCCCAAAGCCTTGAGACCCTGAACCCGCTTGGGAGACCCGGAAGAGCTCCTGGCTTCTGGCTTTGGATTGGCTCAGCTCCAGCCATTGTAGTCACTTGAGTGAATCAGCAGATGGAAGATCTTCCTCTCTGTCTCCTCCTCTCTGTATATCCGCCTTTCCAATAAAAATAAATAAATCTTTAAAATAAATATATAAATAAAACTAGATGATGAAGGGAAGATTCTTACACACTATTGCTCTGCCAGAACCCCAGTGTACAGAGGCAACAGCAACATTATACAGCTTCCACAGGGACACCTATTTAACTTCGGACTAATTTCAATCTGTTTACTCACCATGATTTCCAAATGGTTATTATTTCAAGATATCTGATGTGATTCTCTGAATTTTTTGCCTTAAAACACTTCTTGTTCAACCTCATTGATTGTGACTTTAGTACACAGTCATGTTCTGTTATTGAGGGCTGCTACGCTGCCCCCAAATAAGTATCCAATAGTCCTTGCTGTCAATCTCTCTCTCTCGCTCTCACTCTTATTATTATTTATGTTGATGTGTCTGATATTCTTATCAGGGCATAACTGCATCTTGGGGACAAAAAGTAGCATGTTACATTTAGTAGACTTTTAATAAGTGTTCATCATTAGATATATTCCAAACATGGAAAGAGGAACATACTGAAAGAGAATCTCAGTGCCTGTGTACTAGTACATGTAATTTGTAAATGTCTATATTCCCATTTGTAGTTCTTCTGCCCAATAATGCAGCAGAGAAAGCCAAGTCTCAAAATTTAAGAGGTGCCCCCACTAGGCCGAGAAAAGGGCAGATGCTCTTCGTATGAAAAAACAGACCCTTGCCCTGATGGCTCCTGTAGCAGGCAGGGAGGGCTGTAACTGAAATGAAGCATCAAGAGGATTTGAAGGAAAGCTTGATAAAAGGTCTCAGGTGAGCAGTGGCCTTCAACACCTCATCTCTCTGGCCACCCCTAAGCCTTAGTTCCTCCCATCTCTGCAGGCTGAATGCCATGTTTCCAGTGCTTCTGTCAGGCTGCCCTTGCCCCATTGCAGGTTTAATTGCAGGGCGCAGGTGTCTGGGGAGCACTGTGGTGGCAGCACAGAGGTAGGTGGCTGAGTCTTCGTGCTGCAAGGCTGTGATGGACAAGCTGCTGCCATTCTTCAAGAGTGTGGCTCGAAGTCTTCCTTCCTGCTTTGCATCCCCAATGGAATACATGGAAAACAGGAGTTTGGGACCCTCCCCTAGAACCTGCTTGTACCACTGTAGATTTCCAAGACCACTGACTTGGTGGGTGCAGCTCATCAAGGTGACATCTCCCTCCTGGACTTCCAGGGAACGAGGACTCTGCTCCAACAGGTTTTCTCCACTCAGCCCTGTTCAGAACGACAATATCATAGTATACAGACTTGTGTTCAGACTTTTCATAATCCTGTAACTAAGTCCCCCAACAAGAAAGGTCAAATGAGCCCAGATTCTATCCCATCTGTTTCATGTCTATCTCCTGGAGTTCCAGATCCTGCAACCCGTCAACTCACAGCCAAGATGAAGCCAAAATATAATCAGTTGAGATCCCCTCTTCTCCATCTCAACCTTTTGTCTTAGTACCTAAAATACTACCTAAAATTATGCAGTTAAAAAAAAGAAAGTCTTATTCCTCCCCCTTTCTCAATCCAGAAACCAAAGGACCTTTCTGTCTCATTGAGAGCCAATCAGAAATAAGATCCCCCTAATGTATGCATATTTGTAATATATGGAAGGTACAAAAACCAAAAAGAGAAAGAGCCACTGTCATCTGGTGGCAACAAACAGAATCACTTCCAATCCAACTCCCTACTAACGACCTTGGGAAAGCAGAAAAAGAAGGCCCGAGTGCATGGGCAGCCTTGCAGCCACATGGGACACCTGGATGAAACGCCTCACTCCTAGCTTTGGCGCAGCTCAGGCTTGGCTGTTGCAGCCGTTCAGGGAGTGAAGCAGCAGAGACTGGGTGTTTCCTTTCCCGGAGGTTGATGGGTCCAGTAAATCTGGAGGGGATCAGAGAATCTGAATTCAGAATCAACTAGTTTTTTATCTTCATTTGTGATTGTTTATTTGAAAAATTTATTTTCTGTGAAGAAATCCTTTTTGTGATAAGAAGGCAGTTGTGATTTCTTCCAGCCTTGTGAGTTGAGGAGACAGTCTGGAGCTGAGATACGGAGGCAAACAATTGCAAGAACACAGCAAGGAAAGAGCTACAGCAAGGGAGAGATGCAGGGAACTTCAGTACCTCCAGCAGCACAAGTGTGGGAGGCCAGATGGAAACAAGCCAAAAGGATTACAGGAATCAGCACACAAGCTGGTGCTCACATGGGGGCAGCACTATGCCAGGCCCACCAGCCATGCTGGAATCTCCCCATTCACGGATCAGGTGGAACAATCAAGAAGGCCTTCTGAAGTCATGAGAGATAATTACCACACAGGTCCAGCCAAACTTACAGACAGTAGGAAGACCATTGTCAAAGAAAGATCAGACTCTCAAATATCTGCTATTATTTATTAGGATGAAGAAAGATTTTCCATCTGCTAGTCTGCTACCCAAATGAATGCAACAGCCAAAGCTGGACCAGTCTGATGCTGGAAGCCAGAAGCCTCTTCCAGGTCTCCCACAGGGGTGCAGGAACCCAAGGCCTGGGGCCATCCTGTGCTGCTTTCCCAGGGCTTTATCAGGACATTGGATAGGCATTGGAACAATTGAGCCAGCATGCATATGGGATGCCAGAGCACAAGCAGAGGATCAGCCTGCTATGCCACCTTTCCTGTCTGTGCCAGTCGGACACGAGAAGAGACCTCTGCCGAGGAAGAACTGGAGAAGGGCATGAAGAGTCCAGGAATAGGGGAAGGAGTTTCTATGAGCAAAGCTGAGAACAGAGCAACTCACATCACTGCCGACATCAGTGGGATTGCATCGCGGATATCACATCTCATCTGTCTTATAGTTTCCCCAAACATGATGAGATCCAAGCAGATGTCTCATTCTGCACCACGAGACTATCTCAGACCTCGTCCACAAGTCCTCTTGGCACAGGAATCACAGGGAACTTCACCAAATACCAGGGGATATTTTTTTTATAGTGTAGTTTGTGAGTATTTTCTCCCATTCTGTTGGCTGTCTTTTTATTTTATTGACCAGTTCCCTAGTACTAAATCCTTCTTAGTTTGATGTGGTCTACTTCATTTATTTTTTTGATTAATTTATTTATTTATAAATAACGTTGTATTATGTGACACAGTTTTATTTTTCAACCTGGTGGAATACTCAAGGCACAGTTACTGAAAGTAACAGCTGCAAACTGGAACTCAGGTGTTTCCTTGGAGTCCCTAGCCCCGTGCCTGCTTTAAGTTACTCCAGGGACGCGGGTTGTGAGGCACCAAAGCTGGAATTTGTCCCTTCTCCTCCAGTTGTCCCCAGTTTAGATCGTGACTCTGGAGAGAAGCTATAACTCTCCCCACGCAGGGCTGCCATACGCAGGTGCCACCTGCTGGCCCCAGGTTTGTGCTCTGGCTCCCCGGTGCTTTCTCTCACAGTGTCTCTCACGGCACAGTAGTACACAGCTGAGTCTGATACCCGCACTGAGGACTTGTGCAGGTGAAAGGAGCTGTTCTTCTTAACCAGAGTGGCCTGGAAACCATCATGCTCCACTTGGTGGTTGTCTGTGGCGCTTTTCAGGAGCAACTGGGGAGCTTGATTGAAATCCTGGATGTACCAATAAAGGAATTCTGAGTAGCTGGTTTGGTAGGTGCAGTTCAGGATCAGACGTGCCCCCTCGGAGAGGATAACAAGACCTTCTGTCTGGGTCACCGAATCTCCATGGGCTCTCCCTAAAATAATCAAGGTTTTGTTATTTAGGAATATATTGACAAAGTGGTCCCCAGGATAGAACGGGGCTAGAGATCATCAACCAGATCTTGGAATTAAAAATCCTTTAAGAGCAAAACATCACTCACCGAGCATGAGCAGCAGGACCACCAGGCCCACTGACCAAAACTCCAGGGGCATAGCTGTTGAGCTCTGGGCAAGAAAAAGGCCAGGGTACACCCCTGGGCACATCCAGACAACAGGCTGAAGCTCCTATTCCAGAACCTGGGTCTAGGTAGAATCTTCTGGAGAGTTGTCACTTCTTTGGAAAGAGAGCCTGCTTTCTCTGCAGCAATTGAAGTACAAGTGAAGAATGAGCAAAGCTTACACATGTCAAACCCTCTATGCCCTTTGGAAAATAAACCTCATCTGCAGAAAGGAGCGCCCTCTTGTGGTTTGTCTGAACACCTGCAGCTTGCACCACCTGGTCCCATCTCCAACACACTTGAAGAGTTAAAAGTTATTTTGAATGTTTTACCTCAAAGAAACCATAAACCATAAACCAATGTGTATATGTATATAAATACTGCATTGTAAAGCTACCGTATGCCTATTCAAAATAAATAAGGCCAAAATAATAATATTCGTAAATGTAGACAGAGGGTAATGTGTATTTTAGAACATATGATTGCAGGCAGGAACCATCAGCTTTTACAATGCATGAGATCTGTACTACTCATCATTTCGTACAGTCCCAACATGCCACTCAATATAGGCTCCTAAATATCCATCCCTTCATCACAGGACATGTACATTTCCTCCATAGGACCAATAACTTGAAAACCACCTTCCTCTGTTAGGCTTCCCCCTTTCTCTGACAGATCCCAGGTCCCTATGACCCAGGAGCTATTGTTCCCTGACCCCAGCTTCTCTGTTGTACCTATTGTGATTAAAATAAGGGATTTAGGACCTGACATGATAGCTCAATGGCTAAATCCTCACCTTGCAAGTGCAGGAATCCCACATGGGCACTGGTTTGTATCCTGGCTGCTCCACTTCTCATCCAGTTCACTGTTTGTGCCCTGGGAAAACCGTAGAGGATAGTGCAAAGCCTTGGGACTCTGCACTCATGTGGGAGATCTGGAAGAAGCTTCTAGCTCCTGGCTTCAGATTGGCTCAGCCATGGCCATTGTGACCATTTGGGATTTTTAACTCACTCACTCCATCCAGTAACAGGTCCCTAAATCTATCTTGTGATGCCCCTGACTTATAGCACACACGTGCTCAGAGTCATGTGCCCATCCTGTCACAAGATGAGAAATTACAAAGAAATAGGTAACATTCAGTCCTTATCATCATCACCGTCATTATCATCATCTTTGATGTTCAGTTTAGAAGATCTCAAAATATTCAAGCTGTTTTCCCCTAGACAATATAATTATTTTTTTGTGCTCAAGAGGAAGATATTGAATCTTGTATATGTCTCGAACTATCTAGCTAAGTCACAGATTATGGGCAGAATTAATTTGTCCAAGAAAAAAAAAAATCCTGCTTCCTTGTTCTCAGGTATTCTTCAGGACACTTCTGGGATGTGTGGTTTCTGTTCTGAAAAAATAGGAGTCTGAACTTCAGAATGGAGAGAAACTTGCAAACACGTGTGTGTGTGTGTGTGTGCGTGCATATCACAGTCAGAGGAACCCGAAACTTTCAGATCTCAGGAGACACCCACAGCCAGCCCATCAGCAGCCCCAGGAGTATAAAACCAGGGATCCCCTGCTGCTGCTCAGTCCAGAACTCTGTCCCACACAATCCACGCCTTCCAGCAGTTCCCCGTAGGGTTCTCCAAATCTCCAGCAAATCATCATGGGCATCCAGTCACCAGCTCTGTCAACGCCCAGAGGACAGCAGGTATAGATGTGAAAGAGCTGGGAGTCTGCAGGGCAGAGGCAGGTTCACAGACCAGAAGATGCAGGGGGTCAGCTCAAGGTGGCATCGATGCAGGGGAGACCTGCAGCTGGGCATGGCCAAAGCTCTTGTCTCCATGTGAGAAACAATCAGAGGGGAGACGTAACAGAGACTTGCAGGCAAGCAAGAGTTAGAAGGGCATTCAGAGTCTATGCAACTTCACAAAATGAAACTGCCACTTTCAAAGTAAAGACAAATACCACTCTGCTCCTATAACTGCAATGTGAAATACACGAAATTTGCTCATTTTATACAAATAAAATAATAAAGGATGGAGGGAACGTGCACACTCAAGGCAGTGTGAACCAATCTGGGATGCAATGAACTGCCCTTACCAAAGGTTAAGGTCATCCTTTCATAGGTTAGAAAGTGGTGCCTGGGGCCGTGCATTCAAAAGAGACAGGGCTGGGTCAGGACAAGCATGGGACCCACTTCCTGGCGACTTTTTTAGGAATCTTGTCTTCCATCCACTGGGTCACACCCCAAAAGGCAGCAATACTCAGCCATAAATGGAAGCCCAGAACTCCATCTGGGTCTCCCACACAGGTTGTAGGAACCCAAAAAAGTGGGTCACCCACTGCTGTGCCTCAGGATGCATTAGCGGAGAGCTGTACAGGAAGCAGAGGAGCCTGGATTCCTACTGAAACTCGGGTTAGGAGATGTGAGTGTCACTGGGAGCAGCCTAACTCACCATACCATGACAGCTATCCTCTTCTTGGCTTTTAGCTCCAGTTTGGTGGTTTCCCACTCAACCAACCAGTGAGGAGCCAGGTTAGAAAAGGGAAGGCCAGCAAACACTGCCTTCTTGTGTCCTGAGGCTGTTATGACAATGGAATGCACTCCTCTGCCAGGATGTCGTGATGCAAATTCGTCTCACTGGATCCCAGGTAGGCTGGATGTCCAGTTCAGCCAGCGGACTGGTGGTGCCGATGCATCTTTGAGCACCCTTGTAAGTAGCAGGACTGAAACGAGGCTTGAGAAGGCTCAGTGCACAAAACAACTCAGCATCAGGTGAGAAAACAGGGTAAAGAACCAAGCTTTCCCAGGTTGCCATTCCATTGGGCCATGGTTCTATTCTGGCCCCACCACAGTTGCCCGAGGACTCAACTCTCTCGGTTATGCAAAAATGCACGACCGAGTTCTAGGAAACTCTCTCAGACTCACGGCTGAGCGCTCTCTCACCAACCGTGCTGCCCTCACCACAGGAAAGAAACAAAAAGAGGTTTTTTAAAGCAGGCCGTCAGAGGGGTCCTCTCCATGAACGTGATCAACCCAACACCTATCCTGTAAGGTTTTTTCGTTTCAATACATCATCAGATTCTTTTTTTTAAGATCTATTTATTTTTATTGGAAAGATATACAGAGAGCAAAAGAACCAGAGAGGAAGATCTTCCGTCCAGTAGTTCACTTCCCAAGTGGCCGCAATGGCTGGTGCTAAGCCGATCCAAAGCCAGGAGCAAGGAGCTTCTTCCAGATCTCCCACATGGGTGCAGGGTCCCAAGGCCTTGAGCCGTCCTTAACTGCTTTCCCAGACCACATGCAGGGAGCTGAATGGGAAGTGGAGCAGTTGGGATACAAACTGGCACCTATATGCAAGGCAAAGACTTTGGCTGCTAGGCTACCGTGCTGGGCCTTGTCCTGTCAGTTTTTAATGTTAAAATAAAGAACAGTCCAAGAGAGAAATGTTTGAAAGTGAAGCAGGCCAGAGGTACCTTGTACAGTGCCTTAATTTACCTTTGGGTTTTTTGTCAACTGACTGATCACTGTCCCAGCCAGAAGACCACAGGTGGCTCATCACGCACCCAGAGACAGGAGGTGAGCAGAACATGTGACAGTTACCTTAGGAACCTGTGCTGCCGGGGCAGGCACAAACCTTGACAGTGCAGCCTCCTCCCTTACAGCCTCCATCTCAGCCACCTGGTGCTGGTCCGGCTCCGTGCTGCTCTGGCAGGGGCTGACTTTCCCTCCTGACCTCCGACGCATCTTAAGAACAACACCTCTGAAAAAAAAAAAGAACAACACCTCTGAGGGCTTCGGCATTCGGCCAGCTGCTGCCTGGCATGCGGAACACTCTTCCTAAGAAGCTTATTCTCAAAACACCTGGTTTCTGCCTGCAATAATTAAATTTAACACATGTAAATTTTAAAGACCTTTCTCCCAGTCTCTCCATCTCTCTGTAGAATCTGAATTTCAACTACAAATAAATAAATAAATAAATCTGCCAACTTGTGGCACAGTGGGTTGAGCTTCTGCCTGCAACACTGCCTTCTTATATGGGCAACAGTTCAAATCCTGGCTACTCCTCTTCTGATGCAGCTCCCTGCTAATGTACCTGGGAAACCAAAGAAGAAGATTCCCCAAGTGATTGGGGTCCTCACCGATGGGGAAGATCAGAATAAAGCTCTTGGCTGCCGGCTTCAGCCTAGCCCAGCCCTAGCTGTTGTGGCCATTTGGGAAGGAACAAGCAAGAGAAAAGTGTCATTCTCTCTCTCTCTTTCCTCTTCCCTCTGTAATGCTTTTCAAATAAATAAAACTTGACATAAAATAAAAGAAAAATATTGTATCTGTTTTCAGAATAGTAATTGTTAAGGCTTGAGAGATGGGTAAAGGGGTAATAGAGAAAGATTGGATAGAAGATATCAAAATAGTGAGAAAGAAATCGCAAAGTCTTCACATTGCTAGAATGGTATAGTGAAGATAGCTTATGGTAATGATAATGCAATTTATCTGATATTTACATCATCATGTGAAGCAGTCATTGTCAGAACCACACTATGTTATTTATTGACTGATGGCCTCACAACCAGCCAGATTCATCTCAAATGTTCAATTTTGAGATACCCATATTGAAGTATTTGTTTAGAATCTCCATATACTAAAACATATATGGAGAAAATCCCTAACTCAAAATCAAACCAAAAAAAAAAAGGAGGTCTCTAAGCCATTGCAGGTTTGAGTACAGGCTGCAGGTGCAGGGGGAGCACTGTGCATTTGCTGCACAGAAGTAGGTGGCTGAGTCAGCAACATGGGCAGCTGAGATGTGCAGCGAGACCTGCTTCTCCTTCTTGTTCAGGAGCACAGTGAATCCTTTGTCTTCTTTCTTGTCCATACTTGAGAAAATAGTTATAAACAACTGGAGGCCTTCTCCGGGTTCTTGCTTATACCAGTACAAGGTGGTGGTGGTACTGTCTGTGTACGTGCAGTTGATGACACAGTCGTCTCCCTCCTGGACACTCAGGAAAGCAGGACTCTGCTTCATCTGCTCTGCTCCACTCACACCTGTGCAAAGGCAGAAGTCAGGAAAATCGTCAGGCCCACATTCCCTGGAGGAAATACCGATTCCTCAAACTAGAGCTAAGCAGTTGGGAAAAGCCACTATCCTACTCACACTTCCAACGAAGATGTAGTAAACACCCTCTTCTCCCAAAACTCCCAACTCACAGTGCAACCACATGAGCACAAGGAATGCTCCTGCAGCTGTCCTCATGGCTCCTCCTCTCGGGACCTGCAGTCTCCAGCCGGGAGAGCTACTTCGATCCTCCGTGGCTTCTTCCTTTCCTCAAAGGACCCAGAGGAGATGTCTTAACACACTGCAAAGGCATCTGCCTCTCACTTACCCCTTCTACAGCAATCAGCTGCTATCAGCCTGTCCTACAAGGGTGCGTCAGCAGAGACGCTCTGCCCTCTAGTGGCCAGATGTGAGCTGCCAAACTCCGTGTCCAAATCGGATTTCATCTTCACAAACTTAATCCGAAGATTACAGGGAAGGGATGGAAAGAGGAGGGAGGAGGAGAGAGGAGGGAAAAAGCAGGGCAGGGGATGTGAGGAGAGGGGAAGGCAGGAAAGAGGCAACATGAATATGTCAAGCAAAGTAAATTTCAGGGAAATGAGGCAGATTAACAGAAAGCTAACTTCATGTAAATGTAGGGTTCAGAATTTCATTTCATCTTCTCAAGAAACAACTGGGAGATTTTAAATCAATCAGAGATTTTAAATTTTCTTTTCATGATTATTTCACCAAAGGATTGCATATTTGAAGTCAGGAAAATGCTGGTATTTTTTTACACCAAGTACTTGAAACCTCAATTCTCCTAACTCAGACCTCCGCTACTGTTAAAATAGGCTAGAGATTCACTCAGCCAGTGTTCTCATCGTTTTCCTTCGGTGCTGAAGAAGAAAACCCAGGGCTAGCCTCCCTGGCCACTTACCAAAAGGGGAACAGTCATCACAGCCTGCAGTCTTGAAGGGCACTGTTTATTCCCATTTCATAGATGGGAAAACCGAGGTTTTGAAAAGAAGTGTGGAATCTGAAACAAGGCATGTTCATTCACAGCCATGATCTTAATTATATCTTATTTACTTGGTGCAATGAAGAATTGTGAAAAAACAGACCCTAAATCCAGGTATAATATCGTAAGTCAAGCACAATTTTCTCCTATAACACAGAGTACATTTTTTTAAATATATTTTTAATTTTTATTTGGAAAGTCAGATTTATAGGGAGAAGGAGAGACAGAGAGAAAGATCTTCCATCCACATGTTAACTCCCCACGTGGATGCAAAGGCAAGAGCTGAGCTGAAATGAAGACAGGAGACAGGTGCTTCCTCATGGCTCTCCCATGCAGCTACAGGTCCCTGTCTTTGGGCCATCCTTTCCTGCTTGCCCAGTACAAAAGCAGTGAACTGGAAGGGAACCAGAGCAGCCAGGATAGAAAATGGAGCCCATTTGGGATCCCAGTGCATGCAAGACAAAGGCTTTAGTCACGAGGCTACAGCACCAGGCCCATAGACTACATTCTTGTCTAATGGTCAGGGAGAGGCATGAGACAGGGAGAGGAGTGAGACACTCTGACAGCAGTGACCACAGCGCACTCGTGTCTGCAAGACAACAGGGGACAATTCGTGGATGAGAACGAGGGCCCGCTCATGTCATTCCCCTAATACTCAAGACTCTAACCCTACATAGCTCTGGCTCTCCAAAACCTTAAATGTAACTATTAATTTTAAGGCATCTCGATCCTTAATATATTTTGAACATTGAAAATGGTCTTATCTTTTTATACTCTGCAAAATGATGCTTCAAAATATATGTGCATTGTGAAATGGCTAAAGGGAGTCAGTAAACACACACATTGCTTTACATGGTCATCATTGATCTTAGGGAAAAGAAGAATTCTCTGAAACATTGTTAATCATACAGCAAACTGTTACTCACTGTGGTCACCAGCTTGTCTAAAACACCACTTGAACTTCTTCCTCATGACTAAAAGAATTTTGTACTTTTAGAAAAAAACATCTTTCTTAATCTCTATAGCAACTCTTAAGGCTGATTTTATATAGGTTCAGTCTGCTGGATTTACGTATTTATTTCACAATCTCGATCACAACTCAAAGTAGTCATATCACAATGCAGAAAAACCCAGACCTTCCAGCTATTGAAGAATACATGAACAAATGTTGGGTATTCATGCAACATAATTTAATATGTCCCTAAAAGAAAAAATTTTGGAGGCCCAGTGAAGTAGCCTAATGGCTAAAGTCCTCATCTTGCACTTGCCAGGATTCCATATGTGTGCCAGTTCTACTCCCAGCAGCCCTGCTTCCCAGCCAGCTCCCTGCTTGTGCCCTGGGAAAGAATTCAGGATGGTCCAAACCTTGGGATCTGCACCTGCATGGGAGACCTGGATAGGTTTCTGGTTCCTGGCTTAGGATTGGCACAATTCTAGCCCTGCAACCACTTAAGGAGTGAATCATCATACAGAAGCTTTTCTTCTCTGTCTCTCCTGCTCTCTGTATATCTGACTTTCCAATAAAAATGAAATTTAAAAAGAAAGAAGAAAATTTTAATGCATGACAAAGCATGGACATGCTGAAACTGGTATACAAAGTGAAATAAGAAGACTGACACAAAACAACAAATATTTTGAGGCTTAACACACATAAGATACCAGGACTACATAAATTTCTTAATTCCATTTGCCTTTAAAAACAGAAAAAAATTACAAAACAGAGAAAATGAAAGTTGGCTTAATCATCAACAAATCTCTGTAAGACATTTAAGAAAGCTGACAGCTGTCATTTCTATAGATAACTTTATCTTGGAATCAGAATATGGTTTGTTTGCATAATTTGAAAGGAACATCTAAAACCATGGGTGTCATTCATTGAAAAACTTAAGGTATATATATATCAACTTCTAAATCAGAGTTACAGGAAGGAGGAGAGAGACAGAAAATCCTCCATCCTTAGACTCACTCCCCAGATGGCCAGAACAGCCCCATCTGGGACAGGCCACAGTCAAGCGCCCAGAGCTTCATCTGGGTCTCCCACATGGGTGGCAGGAGCCCAACACTTGGGCCATCCTCCACTGCTTTCTTCCAGGCCACTTGCAGGGAGCTGAATCAGAAGTGGAGCAAGCAATGCCAAAATGGAAGCTGGTGTTTCAGGCGTGATTTTGCCTGCAACACAACAATGCCAGTCCCAAATAGATGTCATTCTTCAGGAGCCAAACCAGTGAGCCTAGGCCACAATGTGCTGTAGATGTGACATGGTGATGCAAAGAGATGGAAGTCCAAGAACAACTGAGGCTCAGAACTGGGCAGTCACAGAGCCTGTCCGGAAGTGCCCCAGCTGGACTCGCGGCACAGAACGCAGCATTCCTGCAACAACACGCACCCTGACCCCTGGCTTCACAAATGTCTCTAGACCAACTCTGACCTCACTGCACACACATCAGAGAATCTCTCTCAGGTTTTAAACTCACAAGTGTCCCTGGAATAAAATGGAAAAGTGTGGTGACCTATGAAATTGATAACACCTCAAGGAAGGAAGGAGAACTGAGGAGAGAGCAGGTGACTGAGGAATGAAATGCATCTGAAGCGGGAGAATATTGGGAATTGCCTACACATTAAAAAAAAAAAAACTCAGAAAAAGAAAACATCTGAGACCAGAGAATACTGTCTCCACCAATACGAGATGAATGCAGAAGAAATAGAATGGTGACTCATGAGTTAGTAAACTAAGGTTATACAATATTCAGCAAACTGTGATATGCCTGGATCAGTATATAAATTAACTGAAATTTTGACCTCTAAATGCAAGTCTGTGTTATCTTCATCCTAATAAAGCTTAATAAAGAAGGAAAGTCAAATGTTAGCCATATTATTTCATACAACAGGAATACAAGACATCCTAACTTTCTTTGAGGAAAAAAAAAGATTTACTTATTTTTGTTGAAAGGCCAACTTATACAAAGGAGAAACTGAGAGAAAGGTCTTCCATCTGCTAGCTCACTCCACAAGTGGCCACAATGGCCATGCTGATGCAAATGAAATTAGGAACGAGGAGCTTCTTACACATTTCATTTGGGTCATGATTCCCAAGGCCTTCTGCCATCCTTTACTGCTTTCCCAGGCCACAAAAAACAAGCTGGATGGGAAGTAGAGCAGCCAGGACACAAACCAGTTCCCATGTAAGATCCTTGCGCTAGAAGAGGAATGATTATTCAATCAAGCCATTGCACCAGACCCAAGACGACCTAATTGTGCACCTTCCATTTACTGTATTTCCCACACCCCACACTGAATAATTTTATCACCAGACATGATCAATGCATCCTATGTTTTAAAAAAAGATATAAATCCTTTCACCAAGAACAGAATTCTCTGACTTTGACATCAGGGTGTAGAAATATCACCGCTAAGTCAATCCTACAGTCTTAGACTTCAACTAGATATCAGAAACTGTGCTCAGAGGCTCACCAAAAACATTCTCAAATTCACTGGGTGGCTTTGAAGCTGACTTTCAAGAAGGGCATTTTTTGAACTACACAAATAAAAGTCAAACACAGGTCAATCCTTCACTCAAAGGACAGAAATAAGTATGTCTTCAGCCCTCGTGCAGGTTTGGGTACAGGCTGCAGGTGCAGGGGGAGCACTGTGCACTTGCTGCACAGAAGTAGGTGGCTGAGTCGGCAACGTGGGCAGCTGAGATGTGCAAGGAGACCTGCTTCTCCTTCTTCTTCATGAGCACAGTGAACCTTTGGTCTTCTTTCTTGTCCATACTTGAGAGAATGTTTATAAGCAACTGGAGGCCTTCTCCGGGTTCTTGCTTATACCAATAGAAGTAGGTGGTGACACTGTCTGTGTACGTGCAGTTGATGACACAGTCGTCTCCCTCCCGGACACTCAGGAAAGCAGGGCTCTGCTCCACCTGCTCTGCTCCACTCACACCTGCAAAAAGGAGAAGTCAGACACAATCGTCAGAACATCACCCCCGCTAGAATGCATTTTTTAGAGTAATTTCAGGCTACCTGTAAGAGGGCACCCTCCCCTCAGATTTCTAACTAACATTTGCTCAGCCTCCCTTTCCCCCAATGCTCCCAACTCACAGTGCACCTGCAGCCACAGGAACAGGAGGAAATGTCCAGCAAGCGTCCTCACGGTTCTGCCCATCCTCACTTTCGAGCCCCAGGCTGGATACCCATCCATTCTGTGAGGCTCCTCCTTCCTCAGACACTAGGTTTCTGAAGCTTTCTGCGCAGCCTTTTGCCTCTGCTGAGCCTGGAGCCTGCCCGACATAGTGCTTAGTCACAGAAACACTGCCCTCTTGTGGTCAAACACCAACTGCTCGACCTTCGGGCCAAAACAAATTTCATCATGAGGCCTGCCTTCTCCACATTAAACGAACGCAGCATCAGATCAAATACAGAAACTTCTAAGTGTGTCCTCAGAAATGACTAATATCAGCATAGAGCACACTGTCAATCAAGTTTTAGTATTCCACTTCATTGTGTCACTGCACACTACAAAGAGATGTTTAATTAATTTGACATTACAAGTTTTCCACATTCATTCAACCACAGGATTGGCCTATTTGAAATCAGGAAAACGCTACGAATGTGTCCATGAAGCAATAGAAATGTTAAATCCTCACCCACACCTACTTTGTATATTGACCGCCTTGATTCAGCTCTAATACAGGAAAACTTTGCACAGTCTGTGTGTACGCACACAGACTGGTAACAGAGACAGTTTCACAAGGTATGTCAGAGGGAGCTGCTGCAGACACTGCTTGCTCCTCCTCTTCCCGTCCTGCAACTGGCCGTGGCAGGGATCAGTAGTGGAATGCTCCTGTAGTTTAAAAATAATAATAATAAATTACAGAATGAAGCAGACAAGAGGAGGATGCACTATGGTGAGTTTATAGTATTAGCGTAACCAACGAAGGAGATTAGCTTGCAGAATGTGATGAGAAATCTGATGTGTCCATAAAATCTTTTCTCCTGGAAGAATGGGTTACCTGGATTCTCTGTGTGTGGGTGAATTATTGCCAGCTTTTGACTTAAATCTGCAGACTTTGGGGAAACATCAGTCTACAGGTAGATATAATGTAAACAAGTACACCTGTTCAGATATGTTTGTATTTCATAATAGCAAAGCGAGTGCCCTCAAACACGACTACAGAATAATCTGTCATACACCCCTTTCTGGTTCGGCAGAAGAGAGGTGGGTTATTTACTTTGTTTTGCTTTGTTTTCTATTTTGCCACTGCTAACTCAGAGTCCAGACTTAAACTTTTTCCTAGATTTTGTTCCCAATCATTGTTTGGCTTAAGGACTTATGATAACATCCTTCACTCATTAAAATTTCTCTCCAAGCCATGTCCCAGTTGTTTCAATAGCTAAGATCTTCATGGCAGAAAGAAATCAGAGACAGAGTTCTTCCATCTCCTTACTCACTCCCCAAATGCCAGCAACAGCCATGGCTGAGCCAAGCTAAAATCGGAAGCTCACAGCTCAGTTCAGATCTTCCACATCAGTTGCAGGAAGCAGAGCCCTGGAAGTGTCACGTGAGTCCTCACATCAGCAGGAGGCTGGAGTAGGCTGCAAATCCAGCACACCAATATGGGCTACAGGCATCCCAAGTGGTGGCTTCCCCTCAAGGCGCGGCACCTCTCACAGTTCATTAGAAAGCCCAAGTTCTTCATCAAACCTGCTTCATTGGGCAGAACTTGAATCCAAACGTCATCAGGTTGAAGGGAGTTGCTAAACTGTGTCTTCTTTCTCAGCCTTCTAATTGTTGTTCTCCACTTGCTTTCTCAGAGTCTCATGCTGATCTATAATTTCAGGAATAGATAATAGGGTGGTATCTAAAGACTTCAAGACTGCTCCCCCTGTGAACCCCTTTTTCATGATGCCTTCTCTAGTCCAACTACTCTGGAAACACCAAACTCCAAACACTGACTCTTCAGCCCAGTATGTCACCTACTCCCTACGTGTGCTTCACTTCCCCTGTGCCCTGCACTGACCTGCACACCTGACCCAGCATGTTTCTGTCCTTGTGCCACATCCGCCCAATGTATGCTTCTTTCTAGTGACTCTCCAGAGTCTTCAAGTGGCATTTTCAAATGTGTTTGTTTTAATAGCGTAAGAAGTCGATTAATCCAACATCATTTAGTCATTATAGGTAGCCAACTCTAAAACATACTATTAATCTGGGTACTTTGTAGTAAATTATCCAGAATTAGTTTCATTGGTTGCAGCCAAACTCAAACACTACCGTACTTAGAAAAAGCATTTGGAATTCAAATGAGGTACTCTGTGAAATCACCTGGCAATCGTCCCAGTGGCCATCACATAGCAACCCAGGTTCATTCACTCACCTTCTCCTTTTCCTCCCATTCCCCCTGGTCCCATAAGGCTTGGAAACTGAGACATAGACAGCCAAGCACACACACATATGCACATACACTTGTAAAGAGATTCATCTGTTGCAGTAACTCAGGGTGGAATGAATTTAAGAGTGTTATCACCATCTCCCCTCATATTAGGGAGACTCTAGTCTTTCAGATTTCTAGATTTAGTTTTGCTGTGTAAAACCTAGCACATGGAGGCTACCATGTGGCACCAATTATAGGCACCGGCTCCTGTCCACACTATTCCACTTCTGATCCAGCTCTCTGCTAATGTATCCGGGGAGGCAGCACAAGGTGGCACCTGCCATCCATGTGGGAAGCACAGATGAAGCTACTGGCTCCTGGCTTCAGTCTGGCTCTGCACGCCTTGCAGCCATCTGGAGAGTGAACTAGAGGACGCTGGGGGATGGAATCACTCTCCCTCTTGCATTCTCTCATCTCTCTCGTCTCTCTCTCCCTCATTCCAACTTTCCAAATAAATAATCATTTTAAAAACACTGTCAAATTCTCCTCCAAACAATCATTATAATCCTCAAATTTACCAACACACATGTATCACACAGCCTCATTATGGCTGCCAAGAAAAATTGAAAAGCAAATATCAGATTTTTAAATTGGGCAGTTCTGACAATATGACAAAAGAAAAGAAAATATTATCATTTGCTCATTATTTCAAGCCTATACAGACCTACAGTACACATCACAGACACAGTGGGCTTTTTAATTCATTTACATTTTTTGAGGATGTGTATATATATATATATATATAGAGAGAGAGAGAGAGAGAGAGAGAAAGAGAGAGAGAGACAACTTGCACCTGCTGATTCACTCCCCAGATGGCTCCAGAGGCCAACCTTGGGCCAGGCAGAACCCAGGAACTTCTACCACGCCTCCTAGGACCACACCGGCCTCCAATATCACTTTTTACCATGTGATACAATCACCTGAAAACCTAGCCTGGAATCCAGATTTAACATCATTCATTAAATACAATTTTCTCCCAGACTGTAGATAATATTCTGGTGCAAAATCTCATAGAGATGAATGAGCCACATATACACAAAGAGTAAAATTCCAGGAGAGCTATGGCTTTTGCACCCAGGTCTCTGACAGGGGCAGCAGAGCACAGCTTAGGAGCACATGCCACATAATATGGTCCCAAAACCTCGGATCTAACCTCACATGTCTCTAACTCCCCTTAAAGATTCAATAGCAAGGACCCAGCACAGTATCTTAATGACTAAAGTCCTCACCTTGCAAGAATCCATAAGGCACTGGTTCATATCCCAGCTGCCCACTTCCCATCCAGCTCCCTATCTGTGGCATGGGAAAGCAATTGAGGATGGCCCAAAGCCTTGGGATCCTGAAACTGCCTGGGAGACCTGGAGAAGCTCCTTGCTTCCTACTGTGACTCCACTCACATGGGATGACTAAATCTTGTGTATTTCTTAATTCCCTGGTGCCTACACATAGTAAAGGCAGAGAAATTACATGGACTACATATTTACCCTAACATCAACTGTTTGCTTGAAGATTTTGAAGAGAGTAAGCGTCTGTTGACTTTTTTCCATTTTAGTAAGACTTGCGTCCAACAAGGAAAATAGTTTATTTACATGTTATGGAGGAGATTCAAAATACCATCATTGTCACGATCTTTTTGAGTTTTAAATAAAACTAAATAAATATTATTCAAAAGGCAAATATAGATAGAGCAAGAGAAACAGAGAGATCTTCCACCTGCTGGTTCACTATCCCAAATGGTTTCAACAAACGGAGTTGAGCCCATCCAAAGCCAAGAGTTAGGAGCTTCATCCGGGTCTGCCACATGAGTGCAGTGGTCGATGCATCTACCATCTTCTGCTGCTTTCCCAGTCCATAAGCAGGCAGCTGAATTGAAAGTGGAGCAGCCAGGATTCAAACCAGCACCCACATGGGATACTGACACTTGCTGGTGGAAGACTACCTTGATGTGCCACTGTGACGCCCCCGTCACTGCCATTATGAAGAAACCAAGCCAGTGATCCTCGGGCACAAAGCACTCTCTCTGTTATAGTCACACAATGATACAAGGAGATGGAAATGTGAGGACTACAGAGGTCTACAACCTGACAGACACAGAGCCTGCCTGGGAGGACTGAGGTCTCCACATGGAGGATGCAACACTCCTGGCCTCTGCCTTTGCAAACCCCAAAGCAACCCTGTCTTCTCTATACACACCTGAAGACTTCTTTATCAATCACTACCGTCAAATTCAAAGAAACCTAACTTGCATGTTGAAAATATCCTATGTGAAGAGAAGAGTGGAAGACCTATCGGGTCCATTATTATTCAACACTTCAAGAAGAAAGGAAAACTAAAGGAAGAGTGCACGTGGGACTAATGAAATAAGTTCTTTCTGGAACAGGAAAAATGTAGAATGTCTCACAGTTCAAAACCTATCTACATAAATGAATACATCTGCATGGAGATAGTCTTTCAAAAAAGGGGATGAATACAGGAGAATTAAAATAGTGACATAAAATCAATAAAAATTTGT